ATTCTTCTTACTGAAAGATCAGTGCAGACTTCCTAAGACTCTCTGTTGTTTACTTACCTTGATATTGTCATTCTCTATCACTGGGAACACAGAGAGAGAGCTCTCCAAACAACACACAGAAACTTTAGACTCTTTATTCATTACGATATGTATTCTGCTTGCTCTTAAATCTACAGATTGTCAAGTGTTTCTTGCCTATCCTATGTCTATTATAAAAATTCCCATTCCCATTTACTCCCTGGAAATTTGCTCAACATGTCTACCTTTAGTGTAGTGGGCATCCCTTATTTTCTTCAATTTTAAATCATTTTCTTTTATTTCTTTATTGCTGTCCTGAGGTTAAGCTTCTTCATATCTACAGTCCTGCTTGGCCATAACCGTGGCGTGGGGACCAGTAGGATAAAACACTCCATAGAGAGAGTCTGATGCTAAAAGATTTGCCTAAGTTTGTTTCTTTACCACATTTCACCCCTTAGATTATAAAATAGATATTTTGAAACTATTTAAATTTGACTTAGTTCAACCTTTCAGGTATAAAAATAACTCTTAAAGAAGATATATTTTGATATTTTATCAAATAGCTTATAAAACTCTTTAGAACGCTGAAAAACTTTGTATCCATTATTATATTGCTACACAGCCCACATGCAAACATATGATGTTTAATGGCTGTATTTTTAACAGAATGTTATAAAATCTTCCCTTTTTATATTTCCCAATTTATATTGTTCATTTAGAATTATTCAAAAGCACTAAATTGATATATGTTGGACATGATAAGGAAAGCTGACATATTTTCTGCTCTTCAATAGACAAAAGTTCACTGAAATACAAGGCATATGCACATCATGGTTATATTTGCAACATCTTTTGTTATATAAAATATAGACATATACGTATATCTGTTTCTGTTTGTCCAAGATTATCAATTAATATTTAGAAGTGTGCTGCACTAGCTTGATTAGTCAACAATATAGAAACAGGAATTTTGAAGACCTATCTGTAATGTGAGAATAACATCTATTGGTTATAGAATAGCATAATAAAACCAACAAGGTTTTGAATATCTTCTATATTTTTGTATGTTTAACCTACTTTCTTATTGTACTGGCAAAATTCTTTGATGAAAATTGTAATGAGTCTCTAAATTAAGATTTAGAATTTGTTCTCTATGTCATTATCAAAGGTTGTCAAGTTCCGAAAGAACTTTTAATAAACTCATGACAAAATAAATGTACACAAAGGAAATGAAGATGAATAAAGTACTAAATAATGACTCAAAAAGTAAGGCTGCTTTGAATCTATTAGAACAACGTTTTAAAGCTAGTATACATACTGTCAAGTATAATAAACTTCATGTCAAGATAATTCAGTGTTTTAGTAATGGATGTCTTGCATAATAGAAATATGTGACATGTATAAAACAAATTTAATTGAATTCTTTTTTTCTTTGCTCTGACCTTCAAATTGATTGAAGCACAAACACAAATGTAATAATTTAGGGAAGATATTGGTTTGCTTGTGTAATTTATAAATTTCTTAGAGTTGGAGTGATGTAGATAGGAAATAGAACACAGAAACTGCCAATCACTTCTCTTGCTTTATTTGAATAATAAATCATAAAACCATATAGCAACTTAAGATTTTATGTTTAAACTATTTGATCTTTTTCAGTTCTAGCAAAATTTCATTTTTATAAATGTAGTATCAAAAATCAGTAAAAGCAAAGCTTATGACACAAACATTATGAAATTTATATTTTTCCATTGAATTTAATTGTTAAATTGTTTTATTCAACTGTTATAAAATAATGCATGACAAATATTTTTCTAAGAATATTATATAAACTAATACACATACTCTACTTAATTCCTACCTTTGTGTGGTGAAATCCAATATAATTTTGGCTTCATCAAATATTTAGATTAAAACCTTGAATTAAAGGTGTCTGTTGTGGTCTAGGAATCACTTCACAAACCACACGAACAACAATCTCAGTCAGAGTTGGATGGTTTATTAAAAACACACCCTAATACTGGTCAGACCAGGAACATGGTTCAGAATAGTCTAAACTATGTCATCAAACATTTTTCACAGCAGAATTTTTATAGGAAAAAAGTTTCAAATATTTCAAAGGCAAGAAGGGTAGTAATATTATACCTTGGCTTACTAGATAAAGTATTATCAACTAACCTTTAAGCTGATTGGACCCAAGTGAGGTAAGAGGGATGGTGAGCAGGTTGTGAACAGGGAATTTTCAGAACTTTTAGATAGCAGAGCATGAATATTATAATCATAACTTTTGGCTTATTAGTAGCATTCTTCAATGTCAGGCACAAAAACCAAATGAGCACATATACAGGTGCAGGAAGTTCTGCCTGGTGATCAGCTCTGACTCAAACCACAACAATTCATATTAACTTTTGATTTCATGGGTCCTACAGAAAGCTTTGTGGGATTTCTTAAGACTAGGAAACCCCATACAGCACATTCAGAACATATAGAACAAAACAGGATATGTGGTCAGCATGTCCTTAATCTGAGCCAATTAATATCTCTGTGTCAATGACTGTCAGGCATATTATAGCAACACTATGAAATAGCTCGCAGGCATTGAACAAAGTGGCTACATCTATATTGGGGATGGGGAGGTTGTTAAAGATCATAACATGTCTTTAATACAAAATTCTAACATTTTGTAGTTAGAATAAGTGATGTCTTTGGACCTCAATTTTCCCTTAGTACAAGTAGATATGAAAAAAACTGATTTTCCTATGTGATGGACTTTTTAATGAAATTGTGGTATGTCATTATAAAATTATTAAAAATGAGAATATCAATTTTAAATACCTGACTTGATTTTTTGTTCCATTCCAGTTTGCTAACTAATTAAAATCACTGTTAACTTGTAAAGAAATTTGTTCAGGACCTTGAATTCATTGTAGTCTTCAAATCACTATATTATCATAAAAATGTGTAGGTATTTGTATTTTCTACATAGAAAATACAAATTATAAATAAATAAAACCATTGCAACAAAGTAAATTGGTAGCACAGAAACAAATGAAGATTTAGTCGTTATAGTTACTTCTGTACAATCTTGAAAATATAAAATAATCCTGTACAATATGAAAAATGTTAATATTAAGTGCATTCTTTAGTCATTATTGAAAGTATAAAAAATATACTTACATAAAAATCATACACAACATGTATTACAAAAATCTAGTCAGGCTTCCTCAGTAATTTTATAAAAATTCTTTTCAAAAGAATAATCATTATTTAATAAGAGATTCCATGTTGCCTTTGGTTTATCATGAGGAGAGATACAATAATAGCTTATCCTTGGGTTTAAACACAAGTGATGCATTTTTATCATTTATTTAAAGTGTGATATGTAATCAAAAACAATCAAAGCTAATTGTTAAATTTTCAGCAACGAATTTTTAATATATTCTCATATTCACAGAATTCTTCCCAAATTTCTTTCTAACTGGTTTCTGGTAGTTGTTTTCATAACTGCGTTCATAAATAAGGAGACATTCTAGACTTGAAAAAATGAGAAAATATGATACAATAGTGTTTGGAACAAGGATTTTCTGACTTCTGGTGCTGTAGATTGCAGTCCAAAGCAGTCATTTATCATTAGAACAGGAACATGTGAGATTTTGTCATTCATCTGCTCAGTAACATTGACCTGTAGAATTTATTGCCACATGCTTTGTTTAGCTGTGAGAAGAATTTAAATGAGATGTGATGTCTTATCTCAAGTGAACTTCTTCTACTCATTTTATAGAAATTTGGTTTTTAGATAATGTACAGGAATTCAAAGAGGTTACATAGGAGTTTAAATATAAAACTTCAGCTTTATGCCTAATCTATGACATATTAAAGAAGCATCTGTATTTTTCATTTTTGCCTCATAGTAATTATGGAAAAATATTCAGTTCTTGTTTTGAGTGTTAATATGTCATTTTCACCTCATAGTAACTATGGAAAAGTATTCAATTTTTGGTTTTGGTACTTATATTTTTGTATACACAAAGAGATGTATAATTTTATAATGTCATATAAAATTCTTAATTTGAATATGTATACTTAGAAGAATGCCTGAGTTATTCACACATTCCCTTTCCTGTAGATAAGACAATATGTGACTTACTTTCTACAGGACTCAGTTCTCTCCTTACACTGCTATGATTGTATGATCTTTTCATATTTCACAACAGATATAGGGTCATTTGCTTGTTTCCATTACTAGTTGCACCTCAATATTTCTACCTTTCTTTCTCTATATCTCCACATTTTCCCAATCCTCTCTTAATAGACAGAGTATACATGGCACTTGGCACTACCACAAACCAATGCCAAGAAAAAGGGGTCTTATTCAACTTTATCTTATAACATAACAAGTAATAATGACTCTTAAAAATCACACATGTATTATGCCTGCAATTTGTTAAACTATTACCTGAAAAAAACATAAGTAACCATCTTTTCTGAAGTGATAATTTCAAAATTATTCATGGTAGGAATTTAAAAGTGTGTCTCTGTGAAGCAAAGTGCTTGGAGTCATCCAATTAAAGTTTTACTCTAAATGTCAAGTAGTATCATATTGAACACTTACATAACCCTTCTCTAATAAAAATAATCTAGTTTTCTTTTAACAATGGGATTGACTATGACTGACTTCCTAATATAATTCACGATATGATATTATTTACTTTTTCCCTACAGTGAATTAACAACCATAATGAAAACAAGTTATTATTGCTCTCTAAAAAAAAGTTTGAAAAATAATTAAATTTTTAATATATTCTTCCTTAAAATATGGTTTGATAGCTTGCCAATGGGTCCCAACAATGAATGAATTAAGTTGCCATTCATTATTACATATTTTCTTTACTGATATTTGAGTGTATGTTTCATAGAAATTACTTAAAAATAGAAAAGATATTTTTATATGTGGAGATTTTATGGAGGTTTTTTTCTTTTTTAAGACACACTTTTTAATGGCCTTGGCCTAGGAGCCATCATTGGCCTTGGAGTTGCTGCCCTTTTGCTAATCCTTGTGGTAACAGACGTCAGCTGCTTCTTCATTCGACAATGTGGGTTACTAATGTGCATCACCAGGAGAATGTGCGGGAAAAAGAGTGGCTCCAGTGGAAAGAGTAAAGAACTCGAAGAAGGAAAAGCAGCTTACCTGTAAGTACTAGACACCAGCACCACCTCCCATGAGTGGAATGCAAGTAAAGCTTGCATGCATTGTTTGGAGATGTCTTCTAATGCAATGCAAATATTATTGTTTATCCTTGCCTTAATCTCTACAACACACACACACACACACACACACACACACACACACACACACACACACATATATAAGCGACTTTTTATATATATATATATATATATATATATATATAATTGTATCTGATGTATTCACACCAGATATAAATATATCTTTGTGGAGTACTTTTCAAGACTATGACTGCATCTCACCTAACAAAGTTAATTAATTCTCCATCTAAGTCAGTGCTACATTAATGTGTCCCATATCAAGATAACTGCCTACAATCCCTACATTCACAAGACAGAACCCTGTAGATCAGAGTCCAAGGCCCATCTATTCAGCAAGGTCGAAAATGGCCCAACTTTGGTAGTGAAAATACTAGAAAAGTGTAAGCTGGTGATAATGTTATAGAACAAGGGAATCATGTTTCCGCTCAATGAAGCAGCAGAACTTGGAAACTTTGGCCAAATGGCTCTTATTTTAGAATTAAAAGTAGAAGGGAATACTGGGACAATTGATGATGATTAGCTGAACCTAAGAAATTAGTCTTGATTAAGAAGAGACCAGCGTCATTGAGGCGAAATATTCTGGGAAGTGTTTTCTGTGAGCACAAAGAAGCTGTGTCCCAGAGGAAGTCAAGGTTGTACCTCATGTGCAACTGGACTTGGTAATGTGTAAGAGTCACCCAGGTGGTACTGGTTTTGAAAGCATGAAGGGGTCAAATAGAGCAGCTGAGGCTTGGCACTCTCTCTCTAGGATGTTCCAAAGTAGCCTCTTTTTTCCTACCTGTTCCTTTGAGAATTGGGCATATCTTATCTCTGATTCATTCTGTGAAATCTTTGTCACTTTACCTGCACCTCAATTAGGTGTCACTTTCAAGCATTGCTGGTTCCTTCTACAAACCTTTCTTTCATCGTTAGAAATTAAAGCTGTGTAATAAGGGTGTATCTATATTTAAGTCAGATCACAAAGACCTAGGTATTTGGACATGATTCCTCGTCAGAGCAGTCATGTTGGTGAATTAAAAATTGTCTAAATTTTTACCCTTTTGGTTTAAGCTAAAAATCATAAAAAGTTTAACTATTACAATACAATTATCAATCCCATAAACTTAACAGTCTAAATGTCCTTTTGAAGCTCTTTGATGTGATGATCCTTCATACATGCTGTCCTGATCATTTGTCCTTCAGCAAATATCCATTTTAGCATCAAGGTTTTCCAAACTGACAGTCTGATGAATAATTTATCTTTTTCATCCAGTTTGTTGAGCTGTTCCTATGCAGGTAGTAGGGGGATCAGCTTTTTTCAATCCTCTGCATTTTTATCTTTGTGGTGTATGAGTCATCACTTTTTCCTGACAAATATCCCACCTGGATGTATCCCAGAATTCTTTTTCCCTCCTGTATTTTGTCTCACTTACTATTCCCAGCCTAAGACATAGGCCATAGGCTTTTTAATTGACAGGTGATATATCCATACAGTATGCAAGATATTCTCTTTACATTACTCAGATTAGTTCTTTATTAATTTTGATGGAACCCATAGTCTTTCATCACCTATCGAAATATAAACAAAACCTCTTTTCGAACTAATACATTCCTGATTTCTATTCTGTTGTTAAAGCATCTTTGAAGTACACAGGTTGATCTAAAAATTCAACACTTTTTGTACAATCTAGCATCTTTCAGCTAATGTTATTCTCCCTTTCTCTTTATCAAGGTACAGCTAGATCTTTATGATACACATACAAACTATGCCCTTAGACACTTGCATTTTCTGCCAGAGAATGAGAGAATTTGTGAGTTTGTAGTTTGTGAAGTTCATGACTTCCATTGTTTCCAATATTGTTATACATTATTCAAATTCTTTTAAATATTTTATGCTTGTTTTTTCTAATCAGGCAAGAAAATTGTCATATTATAAACATTAGTTAATCAAATATTTTAATTCTAACCTTAGATTTTTATAGGTTAAGCAACTTTTGCAGTATAATTTTCTATTTTATCCCTTTTCAAAAAATGACCATCATCGGTAGTCTACACTGGCTTTAAATTTACAATCAACCTGACTGGTTCCTGGGTGTTAGACTTACAGATGTTTTTACCTTACCTAACACCAAAACAAACAAACAAACAAAACAAAACAAAAATTTACAATAACTATGATAAAAAGAGATTATATTGCTTCACTCTAGTTACTTAGGAAAAAAATCACAGAAGTATCAATTTAAAAAGAAAAAAATGTTCAATGTTTGATTTATTGGAAAGTGGCTAACATGAACGTGTGTGTGTTTGTGTGTGTGTGTGTATGTGTGTGTTGTATGTATATGTGAGCATATTTGACATGTAAAGAAATTAAATATTTTTATTTTTCCTTTTTAGGAAAGATGGGTCAAAAGAACCGATAGTGGAAATGAGAACAGAGGATGAAAGAATCACTAACCACGAAGATGGGAGTCCAGTAAATGAGCCAAATGAAACAACACCACTAACGGAACCTGAGTATGTAGCTACAAATTCTTGCACTTGGGGATAAGTAATACTAAAGTGGTAAAACATTTTAAGTAATGGTAATATCAATGATATCATTATTATTAAGGGAAATAATTTGTTTTCTTAAAATAAACTTCATTTGACTCTTAAAGTCTATTTCAACATATTTGCCTTGAAATTGTAATTTCTTACAGTTTAAAATGTAATTGTTTTTTACTAAAATATATATGTGGCAGGAAATCCTTTGCTATTTTGAATGTTAATAAACATTGCAATATGCCTAGATTATTAAATAAATTATTTTTCTCATACTAATTTAAACATGTTCTTTAATAATTTCATGAACAAATCTATGTTCTAATTACTCTCTACTGTCTTGCATCTTATTCCCAGTCTTGTCAATCTCTCTCCCATCTATAACTACTTTTCTTGCATCCATGGCTCTATTTTGTTTTCTGATTGACTGAGCTTTTAACATGTGCCTTCTTTTGAGCATATATTTAACTCTCCATTGGTGTTTGATGGACTCACCAATGAGTATCCACAAAATATAATGACTCAAGGGTTCATGCCACCTTGACTAGCAGGTTAGTGTTGTCACTCATGGGACTCACTGCCAGGCAAGGACATTTATACCTTCCTCTCTTCTCTTCCTCTTCTCCAGTATTGAGCTCCTTTCCTTCTCAGCAACTTCTCCAAATGTCGCTAATTGTCATAGTTACTTTTAACATAATTACTTGGATATTTGTACAAAATGTTTATTGTCCTCATTTGTAAATTGCAAGTAAACTCAAAGGATCTAAATTAACAATGTTAATTCTTCTATATAATGATAAAATTAAGTACAGAGTTTGGCTGAAGCTGTATTTGTGAACTCTTAGATATAATTATTTTGTCAAATTTTCAAGAAAATATAAATAAGATGAAACACTGAATTAGTGAATGTTGCAATAGATGAAAAATATAAATTTATCATTTGATTATTTTCAAATTAAAATTTAATGAACCTGTCTCGATTTTAGAGAAAAAGAAACAAGGAACATGAAGAGGTGGTTTAGTGTTTAGGATCAGTTATTTCTCTTAAAGAGAACCCAGCTTCAATTCCCAGCCAGCACCCTTGTAATTCCTCTCAAACCTCTACATGTCCAGTTCCAGGAAACTTTACACATTTTCTAGCCTCTGATAGCACCACAGAGAAATGCAGTACAGAAACATACATCTAAGCATGCCATTGGTTCAAAAAACAATACGTTTCATTGTCAAATCAGAAACAGCTTTCATAATATATTTAATAGTGATATAAAAATATGAAGAAAAGTAATCTGAAGAAAGCTGAAGAAACATCTGTAAATGTAAAATATAAGAAACAATTTCCTAAATAACAATAATCTTCATCAATTTCCAAATAATGTTGATAACTCACATAATTCTAATTGAATGCAATGGTGTGACACTTAAATATTTTTATTTTTTTAGAGTTATTAGAAATACTAAACAAAGTAGTGGACATAGATCAGAAATTAGACTCTTAATAGTTCAAAACAAATTTATTTTTAATTTACACTCAGTATCAAATCTAAGTTACTTTACAGTAAACAATTTGATTTATCTATATTCACAAATACTTTGTTTCACAAACTCTGTGTTTTACATTACATTCTTAATGGAAAATGCTAATTATTTTATTACATATTATGTTATTTTGCAATAAATTATTTAAATACTTATAAGATCATTCCAAAAAAATTCATAAAATTCACATTATACAAACTGAGTAATTTGCATTTCAGAGTATGTTTTTACATATATATATATATATATATATATATATATATATATATATATATATATATATATAAAACAATAATGAAAAAAAGGAGACTATGAATTTAAGTTAGAGCAAAGAAAATATATGAGGGTTCCAGGAGGAAGGAATAGAAAGAAGGAAACGTAGTTATATTATAATCTCAATTAATAAAATGACTATTAAAATAAGTTTGTGTGTTTGTATGTGTAATAAGTACAGCAGGTTTCACTCAACAAATATGTTTTTGCAATGGCCAAAAGCAGGTTTTAAATTTTATACCTAGAAACTGAATCTGCTATTTCTGTTCATTGCCAGAAAATTGCCTTTAAAAGAAGAAAATGGAAAGGAAGTTTTAAACGCAGAAACTATAGAAATTAAAGTATCTAATGACATCATCCAGTCTAAAGAAGATGACATCAAGGCATAACCACAAGTTCCAGCACCTCGGTCAGCACCACAAGGAGCATTTGGATTGCAGTGACACTATGACCAAAACTATTCCATTGACCTTAATTTCTCGGGAAAAGTCTAGCTTGGAATAGCTTGTACACATATACATACGACCAACTCCTCCTGCCACAGCCCATTTCCTTCTGTTATTGTGGTGGTGGTTGTTTATTTTGTTAAGAATTCAGTATAAAGACTTGATTGGCACCAATTTTGGGGTTTCAGTTCGATTCTGTAATTGAAGTACTGCAATTTATTAGATGGCGAAAGTGTTTTGTTTGTTGTTTATTTTTTGTCTCATGTAACACCAACAAATATATTTCTCTCTAAAATATTAGGTTGTAATGGAAAGCAGAGCAAAAGCATTGTGAGTTAAATATGTAGGAAGTGTATGAAAGCCCTGCATGTTTATGAATCTTATCTTGGGCAAACACACTATTGTGTGGGCTTTCAGACTAAGACAAAGGCACATAACAAATGGTATGCTTTTCATCAGGGGAATTTCAAGGAACCCAGGCTTGAAAGAGCCAGTCAGTTATCTTTTGCAGATATTAGAAATTGAAAAATTGTTGGAGAACTCTTTTAAACTTATAACCACACTGCATTTTCGACATTGATCTTAGGTACACTGATACCAGGACAAAATTGTTACACATTTGAAAGAAGATTAGTTGTGTGTAAAATTAGATTAGAAAGATTCCTAAATCTCTTTTTATGTATACCATATTCACTCACAGTGGATTACAGAAAAAGTAAATGTACTACAAGTGAAAATGGTATTGATTTCTGCCCTCAGCTTCAAATAAAGTGAATTTAAATGGGAAAATATCAATACGCTGTCTTGATATATTTATGAACATGATTATTTTTATTTATAAAATAATTTATCACAAATAAAGTTGTTTTCAAGTACTTCAACTCATATTAGATATATTTTGGTGTATAGTCTTATATGATTGTTAATATTATGTGTCCCTCATTAAACGAAAGTGATTACTGGACTATAAATATATATGTTAAACAGATTTAATTTAACATACATATGTGCCAGGAAAAAAAAAACCTCAACAATTGAAATGCTACTAATGTTTTATTGAAAACATTGCATTCTAAAATCCATTTAAAATCTACTTTAAGATTTTTGATAAACAGCTATGGTTGAAACAATTGTTTAACTATACAACATAAACTTTCTAATATTACCTGTTAAGTATTATATAAGAATATATTAGTTACTAACTTACAAGCTATGCAAACTCCCTGAGGTCAAAGTCTGAATTATCATTTAACTTATGAGAAATGAAAAACACATTTGTGACTATCAATATACATATGTTGGGAGCAGGGTTTTGAGGATTTCTTAAGTCAGAGTCTAGAAAGTTTCTAAAGACTCCCTCTTTCTTACAACCTTTGGTGTTTGAGTATCAAGTGAATAACTCCAATATTAACATATTGGAGAATAAATCCTAATAGCTTATTGAAGGAATCGTTTTAACAATGCAGATGGACATGCTCTTACACCACCTCTCTTCATAAGTAGATTCATGAAAGTATAATAAAATATTGATGCCACTCTGAAATACTTTTATTTATAAAGTGTTTGTTTATCATCCAAAGAGAGCCCCATGTATATTGTTCCTCATATGCTGGTTGTCAAGTAGACTGAGTGTTCTCAACTGCATGCTAAGGCACTGTTACGTCCACAGTGCTTTGCTGTAATATCAGAATTTACACAGGGACCTCTCCTTGCTGCTCATCCTGACATATTCTGATGAGAGATGGAGAGAGGAAAACACACACACACACACACACACCACATATACACACACAAACACAAATCTGTGCCTATTTAAGCATCTGAACAGTATCTAAAATAAGCAAGCAAACCAGTTTAACCCTTTTTGACCAATGTGATTATTAAACATGTTCTTGACTGATTTGACTGGGGTGTTCAGCTTATGTTTGTCTGGTTATCTGGGTTCCTTTGTAGGATGTACTTCATTATGCTTGTTTCGTTTTGTACCAAATGTGCTAAAACTAGTCGAAATACTTGAATTTGTTTGTTTGTGTAAAGTGAACAGGCTTAGTGGTGTCTATGAAGCAATAGCCATGAACTCCGATTATTTTTTCCTGGATAGAACCACATGGGTTTAAACTAATGACATTAAAATAATTTGTATGACTGATAAAGCGATTTCGCATGTTTAGAGTTGTCATATTTGTGCTATACCACAAGAACAGAGAAATCAGAAGAAAAATTTTTTTGTGTTTTCTCACTTAGAAATTTTAATTTTATCATATCTTTAAAATTTCTATGTAAAGAAACCAAATTAAATTTATAAAGAGAGTGTAACATTTTTTGTCCATTTATGGAGCCATTAGGTATATTTGGATCAATCCCACACATGGTATCAATTGTCTAGGAGATGCTGAACCAATATTGTCCTTGAAATTGATTCCCTGGAGAAACAGTATATTGATGTAGAAAACATTTTAAAACTTCAAAGAAATTCTACTAATTACACAATTTGTAAAGTCTCCAAATGAGAATTATTTTATTGAAAGTTCTCAACTCGTGACTAACCCTGAAGTTATCTATTGCTTATTTTTAATCCTGTTTTAGTCTAAACAAATTCATGTACCTTTCACTATCTGAGAACCCACTTATGTATTTTGAAAAAATAACCACTGGACAAAATTTAAGTAATGTTAAGATAATCTAAACTTTGCACAAGTTAAAACAAAAAGAAAAATAAATGTAAGGTTAGGAACAGTTAAAAATGACAATCTCTATTTGACATCATATAAGATGAAATTTTAATAGTTGAATTAATTCATATTTTATTTTTTAAAACTGACATAAATGAGTGTATCAAAGTACTTTATAATGATTTAAATAATGAGTTAATAATTGTGATGTCAACAGGTTTATTTATTATTTTGTGGATAAGAAGCATTACTGTTCTACTTATACTAATCTCTAACATTAACAGTCTTTAAAACATTTATTTTAAATAGTAATACATAAACCAACATTTTCAAAGGGTTTTGGATCAAACAGATGTCATATGAATCTTAATCTTTGTGTTAAGCGTATATACATATAACTGAAAAGTTATTACTAAGCAAATGAAATACAAGATCCAGCAATTAATTGTATATTGAAATCATCTCAATGCTTTGAATAATTAAGAGGTTATCGGTGCCTTTATATCAGCATGACATTCTGTTAAAGAAAAATTACAACTACTCTCACTATTTATGTATTTTAATTAAACATGTGACACTAAATCTGCAGTGTTTACTTACAATGAAAATCTTAGCTACAACCTCTTTCTCTTCGACACAAAATCCAAACCAAAAAAACTAAGTATACACTCAAATTTATTTGAATTTACAATAAAGATGTACTTTAGTCCATCCATAAGATACTTTAAATTGTTCCATACTGTTTTTCTAGATGATATGTCCCTATTGAGAAAACTATGACATTAGCTCTAAGAAACACAAAAGATGCTCCTGAGAATGAGGGCAATCACTAAAGTGTTACTCAGGTCCCTGGTGTTGTTGTTGAGACCATAAATACATCCAAATGATGACAAGAAAAACATCAAAATGTCTATAATTGAAATAAGGGAAGTTTAAATCTACATATTTAATTTAGAAATTATTGGTGTAGCATATAATAATTATTTAAAATTATATTATTTTTCATGGAGTATGATAAAAATGCTTAGTTAAATTTCCTCATAAAGTTTTCTTTGAGGGATTATTTTTTAACAATTCATGGAAGATGAAAATAATTTTTAAATGAGAGTTTTCTTATATATGTCAAATTTTCTTCTCTTAATTAACTCTTTGGAACATTCTGTCTAAAGCATAAATAGCATATAGATATATTTACATATGCTGGGATTAAATTCTGGTTGGCTGAAAATTAAAATTTAAACACAGATATTAAATTATTGAAGATAAAATTATATATATGGTCTTAATAATATTCTAATATGAAACAGCTGTATGTATAAATGAAAATATTATAAAAGGCCTAGCAATAGGAAATGGTGAGTACATTTAATTTTCTTCCAGGCTCCACCATTCATTTTATTTTACTTCATTTTATTTTATTTGTGTTCATGCATGTAGATGCAGCTATTTAACAATAGTCCTAAAACAATAAATCTCTCCCTTTATATAATGATCTCCTACTTTTTTATTATATATAATGGTAAATATTTATTTGGTAACACATTTAATATTCTTAAAAATGGTTCATTATTAATATATACTTTTATAATACTGTAAATTAATTAGTTCCTTCTGCATCTTTAATTTTCTTGATTTTAAAAAGAATTTTTTGGTTTATAGATCAGGCATTGTTCATGATTTTTATTATAGAAATTATATATATATATATATATATATATATATATATATATATATCACAATTTTATCCTTTTGTGATTTACAAACTCATATCTTTTTGCATCTAATTTTAGCCTTGCATGGAAGAGAAAGTAAAGCAATGATGTTTGGAGTGTTTCTGCCACGCCCAAATAGAAAGTGAATTATAAGGGAGAACAACTTTTCATTTGGAAGATAAACAGAAATCCCTGATCATGGAATAGTAACAATATAAGCAAATATTAGTGTCAAATATATCAGAGCAAGGAAATACCCTAATGGAATCTAGAAGACCACATAAACAGTGATACACTCTATGATTCAATTTGCTAATGAGATGTTAAACTAACAACATACTACTCTAAAATTATGATATCATTAAAACTACAGACAATTATTCTGCATCTTCAAAAAATGTTGATGGTTTATGATTTTCCTCTAACCCCTGTGAAAACTAAATCAATAGAGAAATAAACCCTCACATTTGAGGGTATGTGAATTCTATACTTTTATTCAGTAATATGAAAACATGCATTTATTTTCTTTAACTTATACATTCCATTCAAATTCTGTATT